AGGAAAAAGAAAAAGAAAGAAAGAAAGAAAGAAAAGAAAGAAAGAAAAAAAAGAAAGAAAAAGAAAGAAAGAAAGAGTCAAGGAAAAAAAGAAAGAAAGAAAGAAAGAAAGAAAGAAAGAAAGAAAGAAAGAAAGAAGTCAAGGAAAAAAGAAAGAAAGAAAAAAGAAAGAAAGAAAGAAAGAAAAGAAAGAAAGAAAGAAAGAAAGAAAGAAAAAGTTGAAAGAAAAGAAAGAAAGAAAGAAAAAGAAAGAAAGAAAGAAAGAAGAAAGAAAAAGAAAAAAGAAAGAAAGAAGTCAAGGAAAGAAAGAAAGAAAGAAAGAAAGAAAGAAAAAAAGAAGTCAAAAAGAAAGAAAGAAAGAAAGAAAGAAAAGAAAGAAAGAAAGAAAGAAAGAAAGAAAGAAAGAAAGAAAGAAAAGAAGTCAAAGTTTGAAAGAAAGAAAGAAGTCAAAGAAAGAAAGAAAAAGAAAAGAAAGAAAGAAAGAAAGAAAGAAAGAAAGAAAAGAAAGAAAGAAAGAAAGAAAGAAAGAAAGAAAGAAAGAAAGAAAAGAAAGAAAGAAAGAAAGAAAAAACGAGAAAGAAAGAAAGAAAGAAAGAAAGAAAGAAAGAAAAGAAGAAAGAAAGAAAAGGAAAGAAAGAAAGAAAGAAGTCAAGGAAAGAAAGAAAGAAAGAAAGAAAGAAAGAAAGCAAAGAAAGAAAGAAAAGAAAAGAAAAGAAAGAAAGAAAGAAAGAAAGAAAGAAAGAAAGAAAGAAAGAAAGAAAGAAAGAAAGAAAGAAGTCAATGAAACGAAGAAGGAAAGACAGGAGTTTGGTATAGAATAGAAAGAAAGAAAGAAAGAAAGAAAGAAGTCAAGGAAAGAAAGAAAGAAAGAAAGAAAGAAGTCAAAGAAAGAAAGAAAGAAAGAAAGAAAGAAAGAAAGAAAAAAGAAAGGAAAGAAAGAAAGAAAGAAAGAAGTCAAAGAAAGAAAGAAAGACAGGAGTTTGGAATAGAAAGAAAGAAAGAAAGAAAGAAAGAAAGAAAGAAAGAAAGAAAGAAAAAAAGGAAAGAAAGAAACGAAGAAAGAAAGACAAAAATTTGGAATAGAAAGAAAGAAAGAAAGAAAGAAAGAAAGAAAGAAAAAAGTCAAGGAAACGAAGAAAGAAAGACAAAAATTTGGAATAGAAAGAAAGAAAGAAAGAAAGAAAGAAGTCAAGGAAACGAAGAAAGAAAGACAAAAATTTGGAATAGAAAGAAAGAAAGAAAGAAAGAAAGAAAGAAAGAAGTCCGGAATAGAAAGACTTAATGAATGAGTGAATGAATGAAATAATGGAGTCTGGAAAAGAAAGAAAGAAGTCCGGAAGAGAAAGACCGGAAAAGAAAGAAAGAAAGGAGTCTGCAATAGAAATAATGAAGTCATAAGTGGCGACCCAAACGTAAGAAATGCTCAGCATCAAACTCACCCATCAGAATAACAACTGTTAATATCAATCGTCTCTCCCACTTGGTTTTTCCAAGAGAAAATCTTACTATCTGTCACGAAATAAAACGAATTAAAAAGATCTGTGATGCAGCGTTGGGGCTAGAAGTATTGCCGATACACAAAGGGAAGCCAATATGACAGGGAACGCCATAATGACAAACCTATTTTCCAAGCCAGTAAGTGAAATGGAAAAGCGAAAAATAATTTAAGTGAAACCTGTTTTCCTTTATTAATTAAAAAATGTTGATTGGTTGTAATTTGAACCTGTTTTGCCCAGTTTAAATTGATCTAAATCTCATCCTCTGAGGATAAAACATGATACAGATTTTGTTTTCTTCTTCTTCTTCTTCTTATTATTATTATTATTATTAACTATGTCTTCCATGAATACTACAGGAGCAAATGATCCTATCAAATGTCAGATAAACACATCGATACGTACAAAACCTCTGACCACTCACACGAGGAAACTTGTAAAATGAGAAAAGAAAAATTTTTCCAGCCTGACACGGTCTGAACTGATGTTAGCACATATCTCCATTTGCACGGCGAACAAGGGCATTTCATTTGCTAACCCTACCCGATGCCACACCTTCTCATACCTCTAAATCCCGGCGGACAGACGAGGCTATTTTTTTTTTCTCATGCTTATATCAACAAAAATTCCGTGTTTAAGAAATAAAACCGACGGATTTAGCATGAATATCAAATCGATTTAGGGTCGGTTTTCCTGCTTCGGATAACAACAGTTCTTCCAGGCGAAGCAGATACGATATCTGGAGTTTCTTTTTTTTTACGTTTTCCTCACTGTTATATTTTCATTTGTATGTCTCCAGCATTATTTTAAAGCCAAGATATATTGCCTTATTTATTCAGGCAAAAGAAGAAAGAAATTTTAGATTTCTTCGATATATCATGGATTTTTTTTTCGGTAAAGTTCTATCTTCAACAGATCGACGAATGATAAATAAGGTCACCTACCACGTAGCGTCGGTAATAGTGGAGAGAAAAAAAGAAACATATACGAACATCTATTCGATAATATCTAAAGTCCGGTTCAATTGTGATGAGTGTCTCAGTAACGGATTTAACGAAAATACACGTGTGAAAGTGCATATACCCGGGCGAGATCAGAGTGAGAGGTCGATCCTCACCGGGGATGTCAGGTTTCAAAGGGCTTAGGAAAAAAGAAAACAAAACGGAGGGAATCTGAATAAGACAGCTGGAATTTTATTAACATAGTCTGATGAAAATACAAAGAATCTGCAATTTTATTAGTCCTGACATGGCACCACGGCTTCAGGGTTACCAGGGATCCCTTCAATGAGTCTATTAGTAGTAGTATTATTAGAAAGAGCAGTGAAAATTTCCCGGTTTTTCTTTTTGAATTTTTTGTGGAAATCTTAATTTTTCAGTTAATGAAGGAATAAACTCATGACGAGTTTTACGTTAAGAAAATATGAAAAGGTGAGGCGGACGAGGATAGCAGGTGAGGCGGACGGGGATAGCAGGTGAGGCGGACGGGGATAGCAGGTGAGGCGGACGGGATAGCAGGTGAGGCGGACGGGGATAGCAGGCGAGGCTGACGATTATTGCATGCGAGGCCGAAGACGATAGCAGTTGAGGCGGAAAAGGATGCCAGTTGCGGCAGGATAGCAGCTGAAGCTCGGGAGGATGGCTAGTGTGGCATAAGAGCATAGACAGGTGAGCCGAAAGAGATTAACAGGTGGTCTGCAATGATTGAAAGACACTTAAAGATTAAGAAAAAGTTTCAAAAATTCATATATGGATTACTTGTAATTTGTAATTTCTGGCATGTATTCCAATATAAATAGTTGTAAATACTTATTGACCGATTTTATCATTGTGATATTTTTACATAATTAACAAGAATTACAAAGATAGTAATTAGGGTCTGTAAATTTGGAGGAGAGAGTTATCAATAATAATGTTGCGACTTTAAGCCATTCTCTGCTTAGGACTGATATAAGAGGACTAATATCACGTAACAGTTCAGTATTCCTTTTTGTTTCTGTTTCTTCAAGTCCCTACTTCGTCTGCGAGTAAATTGATCACTATTACATAACAATTCAGTACTCTTTCTCTTGCTTCAAGTCCCTTCTTCATCTGTGAAGAGATTGGCCAGAATCTCCTGCCATATATGGAAACTGATATGACTTAACAGTTCAGTACTCTTTTCTTTGTTGCTCTTGCTTCAATTCTCTTCTATATATGTGACGAAATTGTCCAGCATTCACTGCCATATAGGAGCACTAGGTATTACATAACAGTTCAGTAATCTTTTCTTTGTTTCTATTGCTTCAAGTCTCTTCTTCATCTGTGAGGAGATTGTCCAGCATTCATTGACATATAGGAGGACTGATATTACATAACAGTTCAGTAATCTTTTCTTTGTTTTTACAATTTTATGTTTCTTAATACTCTGCTTAGCTTTTGGAAGGTACCTTTCGTTAAACATTTCAAAACATCAGAAAACTATGACGTTTATATCGGTACTGCTTGTACTATAAATAATTTATGAAGAGGGGACCCAGGTATAGATTAAATAGTAGATCATTTTGAGGTGGTCTGAATTCCAAACTCTATGTATCTATGGCATTGCGCGTACTATGCAACCATCGACAAGGCCAGAGTGTTTACAATTCACTATATTATCGAACGCGGTCGACTTTCGTCTTTGTTGATATATCGGAGGACCGAGGCGCAACTGAAGAAGATCACATTGTCAGATGCCCAGACCTGGGGAGCAGATGCCCCAGGCTGCACCGACTCATTGCATTAGAAAGAGCGACCAGTGCTCGCACCGAGGCCAGCGTAGCTGTTAGTCGCGGGGGTTCAGGGAATTTTTGTCGTTGATCCGAGTGTACGCGATCGGGTTCCCCACATTAAACCCGACCTTGTTTCACATCCCGTCTCACTAGTGAAGCCAGGTAAATATGTAAATTGATACGCTTGGAATAAATTTGATATATGACAGTACCATTTCGTTAAGGATATTGGAACCAGGATGTTATCAGAGAGAGTAATAATAATGCAAAAAGGCGTATAATTATGCTTTGTATCTTATACAAAAGCGTTAAATCAGGCTCGAACTATTTGAACTGCTCGGTGAGCTTTATTTATATGAGAAAGATATTGGAACAGTGATTCCCATTTTTTTTTTTCCGAGCCGCATTTTCGGAATAAAAATTTGCTCTCGCCTCAACAAATTTTATGTGATAAAAAGTACATTTAAAAATAAAAAGAAGAGAATGGCTTAAAATCGCAACATTATTATTGATAACTCTCTCCTCCAAATTTACAGACCCCAATTACTATCTTTGTAATTCTTGATAATTATGTAAAAATATCACAATGATAAAATCGGTCAATAAGTATTTACAACTATTTATATTGGAATACATGCCAGAAATTACAAATTACAAGTAATCCATATATGAATTTTTGAAACTTTTTCTTAATCTTTAAGTGTCTTTCAATCATTCCAGACCACCTGTTCATCTCTTTCGGCTCACCTGTCTATGCTCTTATGCCACACTAGCCATCCTCTCCAGGTTCAGCTGCTATCCTGCCGCAACTGGCATCCTCTTCCGCCTCAACTGCTATCGTGTTCGGCCTCGCATGCAATAATCGCCAGCCTCGCCTGCTATCCCCGTCCGCTTCACCTGTTATCTTCGTCCGCCTCACCTGCTATCCTCATCCGCCTCACCTGTTATCTTCGCCGCCACACCTGCTATCCTCATCCGCCTCACCTGTTACCTTCGTCCGCCTCACCTGCTATCCTCATCCGCCTCACCTGTTATCTTCGTCCGCCTCACCTGCTATCCTCATCCGCCTCACCTGTTATCTTCGCCGCCTCACCTGTTATTTTTCTCCTTCTCACCTGCTATCCTCTTCCGCCACATTTGCAATCCTCGTCAGCCTCACCTGTTATCCTCGTCCACCGTACCTTTTATCCTCGCCGCCTCACCTGCTATCCTCTTCCGCATCACATGCAATCCTCGTCAGCCTCACCTTCTGTGCTCTTCAGCCTCACATGTTATCCTCGTCTTCCTTACCAGTTATCAATGCCCGCCTCACCTGCTATCCTCGTCCGCCTTACCTGTTAGCCTCGCCGCATCACCTGTTATCTTCGTCAGACTCACCTGCTATCCTCTTCCGCCTTACTCGTTATCCCTCGTCCGCCTCACCTGTTATCCTCGTCCGTTACACCTGCTATCCACTTCCACCTCACCTGCTATCCTCGTGCCTCATTTGTTATCTTCGTCCGCCTCACCTGTTTTCCTCGTCCGCTACACCTTCTATTTTCGTCCGCCTCACTTGTTATCTTCGTCCGCCTCACCTGA